TCCATGCGAAACCAAGCAAGCCAGATTGTCTCTCAAAGAGCGAAAACAGGAGCAAAATGTGAGGAAGTGTTCTGGACACCTGGGTCAGGGATGGGCTGTCCACTGTTCTGGAGGAAAGTCCCCCAAACACACACACACACTCTGGGATATGGTTTCCCCAAACCATGTCAGAGTGTTTCTGCTGCAGGGGACCATTCTGAATCTCTGTAGTCAGTTCCTGGGGTCCTGGACTGCCTGTTTCCTTGGCTTCTCAGAGAATAGTGATAATAGCAATCAGAAGGGGGCTCACCCACTAAAACGATGGGGCTCTGGGGGATTGGGGAGGTGGGGCATGACAAGGAGTGAGCTTTGGAAAGACCTGTGTCTGGCTTGACTGATCCCCCCTGTCCCTTCACCCCCACCCCTGCCCATGTAATCCAGATCATCAGTGAGGAGAGGTTCCGGCAGCTGGAGAAGATCAAGACAACCGGTAGCACCTACATGGCCGCCTCTGGACTGAATGCCAGCACCTATGACCAGGTCGGCCGTTCACACATCACCGCCATGGCCGACTATGCCATGCGGCTCATGGAGCAGATGAAACACATCAACGAACACTCTTTCAACAATTTCCAGATGAAGATCGGTGAGGGGCTGGGGCAGCATGTGGGTAAAGCTGAGCGTTGAGGTATGGGTTGGGCAGGGTGAGTTCTCCATCAGGACTCCGTGGGGTTTCTACCTCCCACCTTCCTGTCGAGTTTAATCATGAGGACAAAGACCTCTTGAGCCTTCCATGTGCTGGGTGGGGTCTTTGTCCTAGATGTTTCCAGTACATTCTAAGAAGTACATCAAGGCCCCTTTCTAAGATAAGGCGAGTGGCGCTCGGAGATTACATGACGCAGCGAAGGTTAGAAGACTAGCTGGCAGGTTTGTCTAAAGGCCTGGTATCTAAGTGTGTGGTCAGTCTGGGATGTATGGTCAGGCTCAGACGCTCTGGTGGGACGCGGTGATTAAATTAGTCCAGAGCCTGGCTTGACTCCCGACAGCCATACTTGTCCGTAAGGTGAGGCAGCAGTGTGAACAGCGAGTGCCCGGGGAAGCCTTCCGTAGATGAGCTGCAATCCTTGTCTGGACTCAAGGGAGCCAACTCAGCTATCATGCCCAGCCCCCACCCCCTTTTATTCTAAACCACCAGAAGCATTGTCCCCTTTGATATTTTTTCCTTTGGGTTTTGTTGAAGTAAATAATTAAAAATCGGCCACCAGTCAAGCCGACTAGCAGTGTCTCTGCCTAGCTCAGCTGCCATGTTGTGTGGCCAGAGGTGGCAGCTAGAATCGGGCAGCCAAAAACACCAGCTCTGCCACCCATGAGACGCCAGCATGGGAGATGGTTCTGCCGTTCTTCCATGCTGTCTCCGCAAGGCTGGGCATTGTGAGGCAATCCCATTGCGTGGGCATCCACGAGGGCCCAGTAAGAAAAATGAGACTCTAATGCTTAAATATTAATCAACAAATTTATAAGTTTGGTAAGGCTCAATAACAAGATGCCCATATGATCAGAAATGTAACCCAATACCCAACCTAGATATACCAACTACCTTTGACTGCCAGGGACACATGAACATCTACCTCCATTTTCCTCTCTCTCTCTCTCTCTCTCTCTCTCTCTCTCTCTCTCTCTCTCTCTCTCTGTCTCTCTTATCTCATCATCTCTCCCTCTCCTAGCTCCTCCTCTTCCTTCTCCTCTCCCTCTCCTTCCTCCTCCCACCTTAGCTCCTCCTACAGGGTTCCTCTCAGGGGACGATGCAAGGGGAGATGACTGTCAGGAGTGACCCTGTGACATCCTAGCCTCAATCTCTTGCTAATGTCTCTACTTCAGGGTTGAACATGGGTCCAGTTGTAGCAGGCGTCATTGGGGCCCGGAAGCCACAGTATGACATCTGGGGAAATACCGTGAATGTTTCCAGTCGTATGGACAGCACAGGAGTTCCTGACCGAATACAGGTAAGGGGGTGTCACTGAGTTGAATGGGTGTTGAAGACTCTTGGTGGTCTCTGTACAGGACGGGGCAGGGAGCTTCTTTACTATGGCTGTTGGGGTAAGGGGTTGCTGGGGAGGAAAACGTACCCAATAGAGGACTCCTGGGCTTCTTACCAATACATCAAGGATCCCAGGCTGAGCAGGCTCCCTTTCCACTTCCCCAGGTGACCACGGACCTGTACCAGGTTCTAGCTGCCAAGGGCTACCAACTGGAGTGTCGAGGGGTGGTCAAGGTGAAGGGAAAGGGGGAGATGACCACCTACTTCCTCAATGGGGGTCCCAGCAGTTAGCAGAGTGCAATAGCAGAGATTCAACCCAAGGGACCAAGGTGGGCATTGAGTGGACTTTCTGCTCCCCGGGTGGAGCTGTGGCAGGGAGCACTGAGCCTCCAGATCTTGCTGACGGCAAAAGGGAACATCCCAGCAGGCTGTGCTTGGACCATGTTCCTCTGCCTTCAGAATGGTGAAGGAGGGGATGCCGAGAGGATTTTCCGAGTGACTTTCTTAATCGGAGTAGGGCTGTTTGTTTGCATTTTTTGGATAAGAGAACAGCAGCAGAGGCTGAGGAACCTCCTGTTTGAGAGTAAAATGGCAACTCACTATGCCTACTGTTTCCCTGTCTGGGCAACAGGCTCAGGGCTAGGTCCTTTCTTTCCCTATTTTTCCTGGGACTACTTTTGTACAAAGACTGCCGGCAGGCACGAAGAACGCTTCCGCCTTTGCTTGCCTGTGTCTGAAGCACTGGTCTTGGGCATTCCCAGTGCCAGCCAAGTCTCCTTCCTAGGCACAAGGTGGAGGAAGGAGGTGCTGTGGGACCCAGCTCTGACCATATTTCAGGGGAATGTTTCCATTTGCCAAATCCTAGTCCCGTGATCTGTCCCCAAAGGGGAACAAAGGGACCTCTGACAGTGAAGATTCAGCCCCAATTCCTGCATGCTCCAGGGAAAGGGGCATCTGGCCTCACTGGTACTGTGAAAATAACCAGCCAGAGAGCAAGCCTGTGTGTGAGGTCATCAGAAGAACAGGGACTGGACGTTCACCTACAGGTGCCGAAGAATGCAGGCAGCCCAGGAAGAAGAGGAGGAGGCCACACTGACCTGAGGCTCCAGTGTGCCCACATGCTCACTTGCTGTCTTGCTGGCAGGGGCCATGGAGCATCTCTGCCCCTTGTATTGCCAAATAGCAAAAGGGTCAGGGTTCTAAGAAAGATGACCCTGACCCCAAAACTGGCCTCCTAAGTCTGGTACTAGGGAGGCCCTGTGCGTTTGTGTAACTGTGTGTGCAACTGTGTGTGCATGTTGCTTCTGTGTGTGTGTGTGTGTGTGTGTGTGTGTGTGTGTGTGTGTCTGTTTTTGAGGTCTCCATGTGTCTCCACTGGAGACTGCCTCTCTCCCAGGGGCCTCTGTCTTCTGGTGTCAAGGCAGGGTTTCCTATGTCAAGGGATGGAGAGTAAAGCCCAGGTTGCACGGGAGCGGGATGAGGCTTGGTAGTAAAATGAGAGTGGCCTGGAGAGAGGAGTCCTTTTTGTGCCAAATCCCTAAGTGCCATTTGGAGGCCACATGTGCAGTATGACTGTCCCCCTGCCTAGGGCAGGGACCCAAGCATCTGCTTACTCTCTAGTGTTCCTTGGACTTGAAGTGTTAGAGGTTTGTGGGGTGGAGACTCAGGCATTTCCTGGGTTCCTCAGCTTGTGTCTTGGGGGCATGGTATGCTTTTCTGACTGGCGTAGAGTGGGATCCCTCTCTGAGGACCCAGAATTTGGTACTAGGGGATGGAGCCTAGGAGCTTGGAACTTGGCTGTCCCAAGCCTTCAGCCTGGATCTAGCATGGCTAGACTCTAGTCCTGGTTCCCAAGCCTCATGAAGCCCGCCCTTGTCTGCCTCTTACCCTCGCAGCCTCCCTGACTCTGGTCTGAACTTGCTGGTGCCTTGGTTTCTCTGTCTGCACCAATTTAAGCCAGAGGCGGTCCACCTCCATTTTGATTGGGGATTGTCATTATCACTTTGTCTTAGATGTGGAAGGGCAGAGGAGAGAGTTTCAGGAGGTGTGGAAGGGGTGGGCTGTACTTTTGCCCTTCCTCAAGCTTCTGCCGCCAGTTCTCTGCAGAGGCCTGGTTTCCGGCTTGGTACTGCTTTCCTGGGAATCTCCATGTACCAGTCAATGGACCACTGGGCGCTTGATTGGCCAAGGCAGGGGAGAGGAAGACTAGCTGGTCCAGGCAGGAAATTGCCTGTCTCCTCCAGCCATGTCCTATCTCGTCCTATCTCTGGATAGGAAGGGACTACTCAATGCCATTGGGGTGGGGGTGAGGTATATTAGCCAAATCGGGGAGACCTTGGCTTTGGGTCTGCTTCTTGCCAGGTGGGAGGGCTTTGTCCACACCCTGGCTCCCCATACCACAGTGCCAGCCAGTCATGTCCTTCTCTGAGTTATTGTAGCCCCTCTCTTCACCAGTTGGTGAGGGAGTCAGGTTACGGGAAGCCATGGGCTCTGGTTTTTTAATGTAACCACTGTGGGAGTGGGGGAGGGTGACGAACCATGTATTTCAGTGAAATATTTAATATATTTAAATATCAATAAAATCAAACTCTTTGTAAAAAAAAAATGCCCTGTTCTCTGCAGCTGTTTGGACACGGGGTCGGGGGTCAGAAAGTGACAAAGCCTGGTAAAGCAGGCAAGCTCCTGTCCCAGGGGTCTCTGGGTCTCTCTCATCTGTGATCTAATAGCTTCCTGTGGTTTTCTGCCTGTCAGGATAAAGCTGCAGCGTCTTCAGAGAGCATGACTGCTTTCAGCATCACGAGGACAAATGTATCACCCCAGATGTTCACTCTGACCCCTGTCACGCATTAGGTCTAGACCTCTGTGGTTGCCCTTACAGCCCTTTGCATCTCTCACACCAAGATCTAGCCTCATCTGAACTCTCACACGGGAGTCATGGCCTTGGAATAAGTCCCCTGCCTCTCACACCCAGTATGCAAAAGTACCTTCTAGTTCAGTTTGTTTATTCTGCACTCTTCCCCTCCTCCCACTTCTCCTCTCCCGAGGCCATCTTCACCCCTCCATGTGCTCTCTTCCGGTTTTCAATTGTCCTGCATGCGCGCCCTCCTCAGTATAGACTGAAGGTTTTGTCGTTGAGACGAGAATGATCCACATATCTGAAAACAAGAGAAACTGTCTCAGATCGAGCCACTCCAGGATAAAGGGAAAGGGACACCTTAAAATCACTCTTTGTGACTGCTTCTGGGCACATGGGCAGGCATGATAGACTGGGACTACTGTTAATGGATGCTGGTTGGCATGGAAACACCCTCAGGATCCCACAGGAATGCTGGAGACATTGGTTCTGTGCCTTTTCTTTCTTTTTTTTTTTTTTAATTTTTATTTACTTATTATATGTAAGTACACTGTAGCTGTCTTCAGACAACCCACAAGAGGGCATCAGATACCATTACAGATGGTTGTGAGCCACCATGTGGTTGCTGGGATTTGAACTCATGACCTCTGGAAGAGCAGTCAATGCTCTTAACCACTGAGCCATCTCACCAGCCCTCTGTGCCTTTTCAAAGTGTCACCCATAAAGCAAAACAGACAGACCCAACTACACCATGTAGAGGCCTGGGCCTGAGACCTACTTTCCCTGATAAGACTCAAACCTCTTCTATACTCTGACACTCCCCCCCCTTCCCCCCCTAACCCCCCCCCAACAAACCTCCATTTTTGAGCTCTGTTCTGGAACTCTGTAATCCAGGCTAGCTTTGAACTCACAGACTACAGAGATCCACTTGCTTTTGCCTCCTGAGTACTGGGACTAAAGGTGCTGGTCACTTAAATGAAGCTGAACCATACTACAGGTTTCAGCGTGGAGAGAGAACTTCTGTCACCCTGACCCTCCTCAGCATCACCTGATGCCGAGACATCACCTGGTCATTGGGCTTTTAATGAGACAATGGTGTGGAGTCTTGATCCATGGAATGGCTTTCTCTGGACGCACGCCCGGGACGTTGGACCTCCAGAAGCTGAAGTTCTGAGCGTCGGTCACTGGGACTCTGAAGACCTGATTGGGGACTGGATGGTTTAGAAGAAAGACAGGCGTTCATTTCCTCCAGAGTCCCTTGTTTTCCTGTCTCAGGATAAAAAGTCCAGGAAGTTGCTGTGACCAGGTGCGGAGGGAATCCTGGGTATGTGGTCACCACACCCTACCTCACTTCTGGATTCCAGCATCTCACACCCTTCATGATCAGATGGTTTAGTCTTGGGTTTTCCTGTTACTAAGTAAACCCATCTCTAAGACTTGTGGGAAAATCGGTGGAAACCCACTTGGGAAGTGTACAAAATGGAGTCTACTGAGTCAATATCTTTTTTTTTTTGTATTTTTAATTATTATTTTTTTTACCTATTAACTTTACATTCCTGTGACAGCCCTCCTCCCAGTCACCTCCCCCCACAATCCTTCCCCTATCTCTCCTCACTTTCTTCTCTGAGTGAGTGGGACCCCCCCCCCAACCCCAGCACATCAAGTCTCTGTAGGCTAGGGGCATCTTCTCCCTCAATATCTTTTCTTATTCACCCTCACTCACTGTTTCCCTTCTGTCTGAAGTAACGCCTAATCTGCTTATTCTAGAGAGTTCCCTGAAAGGAAAACATGACATCACCCACTTTGAGCAACCATGTGCAGATGCTATCGAGTACCTGTTGCTCAAAATATTATATAAGGTGTTTGTGTGTGTGCAGGTGGACCTATGTACAGGTATATGTGTATTCAGGTATACATGGAAGCCAAAGGTTCCCAAGGAGCCATCTAGAAAAGTCTATCACTAGGACCTGGGCTCCATGATTAGACCAGGTTGGCTGCGTAGCCAACCAGTGTCAGAGATACGCCTGTCCCCTCTGCAGTTCTAGAGTCATGAGTGTGTACTTCCATGCCCAGGGATCAAACTCGGGTCCTCCTGCTTGCAATGTAAACACCTTACCGACTAAGCTGTCTCCATGTGTGACTGTGTGTGTGGTGTGTGCACATGAGTGTGCGTGTGTGCCATTCCTGTGTGTGTGTGGGGGGCCAGAGGTTAATGTTGACTGCCTTCCTCTATTGCTTTGTTTTTAATAATCTAATGTTGTTAATTAATTAATTGTTGGATTTTGAGATAGGGTCTCTCTACATGTCCCTGGCTATCCTAGAACTTACTATGTAGACTAAGTTGGCCTCAAACTCACAGGGATCTGCCTGGTCTGCCTCCCAAGTGCTGGGATTAAAGGGTAGGCCACTGTGACTTGCAAAATTTCATATTTTATTTTATTTTATTTTGGTTTTTCGAGACAGGGTTTCTCTGTGTAGCCCTGTCTGTCCTGGAACTCACTCTGTATACCAGGCTGGCCTCAAACTCAGAAATCCGCCTGCCTCTGCCTCCCAAGTGCTGGGATTAAAGGCGTGTGCCACCACAGCCCAGCAAAATTTCATATTTTAAAGATCAAATTATGGTCTAATATTTTCTGGTTTTCTCTGTAATCTTGAGAATTTTTTAAAATCCTTAATCCTTTGACTAAATGTTATATTTTTACCTAGCTGTCTTCCTATTAATTAATAAGTTTTAATTTTTTTCTGTTAGAAATAAATACCCCTTTTCTTATATTTATCTGTTTTGATATCTAAAAGTTTTTAGTTTAGTTTTGGCCTGACCTGTGGTGAAAGCCTGTAATCTCAGTTACTTGGAAGGCTGAAGCAGGCAGACTGTAAGTTTAAGCCTGAGCAATGTAGTGAAAGTCCTTCTGAAAATAAAAATATAAAAGAAGGTGGGGCTGGAGAGATGGCTCAGAGGTTAAGAGCACTGACTGCTCTTCCAGAGGTCCTGAGGTCAATTCCCAGCAACCACACGGTGGCTCACAACCATCTGTAATGGGATCCAATGCCTTCTTCTGGTGTGTCTGAAGACTGGGACAATATACTCACATGCAATAAGTCTATTAAAAATTATATATATGGCTGATGGTATAGCCCTGTGGTGAAGTGAAATACACTGAAAGTCCTTGGGTTCAACCCTCCCAGTTCTAGGGGGAAAAAAATCAACTCTCATTTAAAATAGTTACAGAGTCACAGAGTTATAGGAAATACTACTGGGAGATTCCCTGACCCTCGGTGGTGACATTTTACAGTACAGTGGTGACATTTTACAGTATACCTTCACGTTCGGACATTAACATGCAAGACGATTCCAAGCTGTCATCCAGGGTTGCAGTCTGTAAATTCTGGTACACTGATCTGTTTGCTTCTGTACTTTTGTCATTGTAAGGATATCATACAAATGGAAACCGGATTGTGAGCTGTTAGGGGCTGGCCTTTTTTGATAAAGCAGAGTTGGAGTTTACTAAAGGAGGGAGACATAAGGGAGGGAGGGCGGAGCAGAGTGGGAGGAAACGGTTTTCTTCTTTCTTTTTTTATTTGTGTATGCATGCGCGTGTCTGTCATGTTTACCACATTACGGGTGTCTATGGAGGAAAAGGGTGTCAGATCCCCTGGGATTGGTGTTACAGGCAGTGAGCTGTCGTGTGGGTGCTAGGTCCCGTGAAAGAGCAGCTATAAGGACTCTTAACCACTGAGTCATCTCTCCAGCCCCAGAAATGGCTCCCCCTCCCCTCCCTTCCCCTCCCCCTCTCCTCTCCCCTCCCCTCCTCCCTTCCCTTCCCCCCTCCTCTCTCCCCTCCTCTCTCCCCTCCTCTCCATTCCCTTCCCTTTCTCTTTGCTTGTTTATTTGTTTCATTTGTTTGTTCAATTTGAGACAGGGTTTCTCTGTGTAGCCTTAGCTATCCTAGAACTCACTCTGTAGACCAGGCTGACCTTGAACTCGGGGATCTACCTGTCTCCCGAGTGCTGGAATTAAAGGTGCATACCACCACTGCCTGGGTAGGAACAGTTTTCTGTAGAGAACACAATTCCTTGAAGATTCCTATGACATACTGTATGCATTGAGAGTCTGTCCTACAAGCTGTTCTGGATGAAGCTAACAAGCTCCAACGTTCACGTGGTTGGGAGAGGTTAAACGGCTGAAGGAACTTCACCAAGGTCACCCAACTTGTTTGAGTTTGGGCTCAGTTCAAATTACAGAGCTGGTGCTGGCTCTCCCGGTCCTCAGCCGGTGTAGCAGCATGACAAAACACCACATACGTTCTTTCTTGTTTCAGCTTTGTGCTGTGATCCTCACAGTTCTGAGAGCCCTAGGAAAACAGGGCAGCACCCCCTCTCCCATCATGGAGCCTGTGACATCCTAGCCCCTCTCTACGAGCTCAGACTCATTCCTCGATTCCCACTCCAAGGTACTTACATGTTTTTAACCACACCTTCCGCACAGCTTCCTGGTACCTCTCATGGCTGTTCTGGTGCACAGAATAGTTATCATCTTCTGAGGTGATTGGGGGAAGCCTTGTGGGCACCGCATCCTTCTGGTCTGAAATGAGAAGATTCTTTTTGAGTACTTGGCAAATGGGGCTACTGTACTCTCTATTTTCCTGGTCGCTGTGCCGACTAGGTACATAGGGGTCTTCTCTAGCTCCGACATTCTGCTCTCAGGAGCCCAGTAGTTAAATCATCAAGCCTGTGATAGAGGGGAGGGAGGAAGAACTCGGGGTTCACGAGAAGCCCTCACCACTCTTCTCTGACTCCAAGGTTTTGAATGGCTTCCCACTGGACTCGGTAGGCTGGATATTTAGGACCAGTGCAGGTGCAAATGGGGGTAGACTTTCCCCAGGCTGACATTGGCATAGAACATCAAATAGTCTGAAAGGGGAAGTCAGGGCTGCTAAGTCCTGGAAGATGAGCAGTCGTGGGCCGGGGCAGGATTATGAATGTGCTTCAGGCAGCAGGATGGGAGCTGCTTCAGAAGCAGAGAGAAGAGGTAGGGGAGGGGGCTTTCTGTTGACTGGAACCTGGAATACTGGATGATGTGGAAAAGGACGAGTGTTGGAGCAGGGGGAAGGACCTGGAAAGGTTGCATGGTGGGTACATGGTGGTCGTGTTTTGGAATTATCTCTTATAAAGCAGATTTTGTGCCTCATAAAAGTCAGCTCTCCTTCACCAGGCCTCTCAAAGCAAACAGGCTAGTCTTATAGCTAACACGTCTAGATTTTGTTTGTTTGTTTGTTTGTTTGTTTATTTGGGACAATACTTCACTATGTAGCTCTGGTTGGGTTGAAACTTGTTGTGGAGACCAGGCTGGCCTTGAACTCACAGAGATCTGCCTGCCTCTGCCTCCCCGGTGTGGAGATTTAAGGCATGGTCTGATTTTGAGTTAAAAATGAGGATGCAAGCAAGCTGTGTCCATACAGAGCTTTTGGTAGTGATGGGCAGCGGCGGCAGTAGCTTCACCACCCCCCACTCCCCGTTTCTCCCAGCAACCCAAAGAACCATGTTTCTGGGGCCAGCAGTGCCCACCATAATGTCCAGTGCAGCAGTGTCTGCTGGCATCTCAGAAGCCTGTGGCAAAGTGGAGGTAATGCAGGACAGCGTGGCTTGGTCAGGGGTGAAAAGAAGGGCGTTGTCTAGGGTTGCTCCAAGATTGCTTTTGGCTATTCCACACAGTTTGTCACCCAAGCTGTAAAGAAGCCGGGCCCCTGGCCTCTTCTCCCCTAGCCAGACTCCTAATAAGACCTAGTGCTTCGTCTTGTCTTCTCCGCGTCTCTGTTCTGTTCTCCCGAAGCTGTGCCTCTGACCCATCCCCTCAGATTTTTTTTTCCCTTCTTATTAGTGCTTGTCAGGGACGAGATCAGTATTTACCCTTCTCTCTGGAAACTGTTGAAGATGGCTGACTCATCTCCTCGAGGGTGAGGTGATGTTGCTTCTGTGGCGTTCTTTCCCAATCCCTGAACTGTTTGCCTCTTCTTCCTAGCTCGGCTTCACTCTTGGCGTCTCTCTCCTTGCCTCTCCATTTTGTCCTCCAAAGGAAATCTTTAACATCCGGTGACTGAGGATCCCACTGGAGTGAGGAATGGTTTAAACAGTGTCGTAACAAGGGGGTCGGGGAGAAGTCCCTTCTGTGAGGCTGCAGATCAAAGAGGGGTTGGCTGTCCTGATAGCTCGGCTAGGGAGAGTGCTGTCCTGGGATCCTGATAGCTTGGCTACAGCTGTCCTGGGATCCTGGCCTGCGGCAGGGGAAGGTCTGTACTTAATTGTGGATTTCAGCAATGAGGGCTCATTTCTGGAAATGGTACCATTTGAGCCTGGTTGTTCAGCTTTAGGCAAGGTAAAAGTAGCAGTAGGTCCATGGACAAATTGCTGTGGATTGAGGAATAACAGCAGGTGTATTTCTGGTGGGTGTTGGAAGCTGGGCTGAGAGTAAATTGTGGTTTTAAATACAGGTGACAGCAAGAGCACCTTCTGGTCTCCAGGCGTCAGACTGTTCTTAAGATACAACCAGATGATGTTCTGTTATTTCAAAGCACCCAAGCAGCAGGCTCTGGGCTTCCCACATGGCTGGGAGCTTCGTCTGGAGTCTGCATGGCAGTCTCACCCACTTGGGTGCCTGCCACTTGAGTCAAGCGTACACCTCCCTCCTAGGGTTCCTTTGGTTTTGTTTTTTATTTTTTCTTTTCTTTTTTTTTTTTTTTTTTGTCAAACTGGGAGATATCATTGGAAACTTAGAGCTCCCCCAGACTGTCCGGGTTTGGAAGGTGCCCTGGTGAAGGGTGCGTGAGAGACATGTTGTGATTACTGAGGAATGCTCTCTACAAAGGACACAATGACAGAACTCCACTGTGCTGGGTAGCCAAATCAACCTCTTGTTGGCAGGTGGTACAACAGAGGTTCTTCACACAGCCAGTTGATGCCCTTCCCTGAATGGTCCTTGTGGGGGCATAAATGGGATGGACTGTGACTAGCTTCTTCTAGAATTGGGCCATTAGTTGGGGGTTGCCCTAAGACTACATTTAATGTTTTGACTGTACTTTGAAGATATCCTGGACAATATGAGAGTGCTTGGGTGCATCTCGTTCTCATCCTAATGACACAGAGTTTCTGTATTATAGGCTGTCTTATAAGCAGGGAATGGTCTTTGAATCTAGATATCCACAGACTTAGTGACTCCTTGAAGTCTGACTTCTAGGTTAAGGGTTGGTTCTAGGTTCTTGGGTTCATAATGGCGACAGTATCCAATACACAGTACTTGCAATTGTCTTGGTCTTGCTGGTTTACAAATGGTAATACCACTTAGCAAGAAATTCATACCAGAGGCTGGAGAGATGGCTCAGTTGTCAAGAGCACTGACTGCTCTTCCAGAGGTCCTGAGTTCAATTCCCAGCAACCATGTGGTAGCTCACAACCATCTGTAATGGGATCTGATGCCCTCTTCTGGTGTGTCTGAAGACAGTGACAGTGTACTCATATACATTAAATAAATAAATAAATCTTTAAAACAAAATATCCACAAGCTATTTTAAAAAGAGAAAGAGAGATTCATACGAGGTCAGGATGAGACAAAATGTTATGGTATTGTACGTAAAAACACGGTGACTCCTGGGCTGGCTGGCTGGCCCAGCAGTTATGACTGTTAGCTTGCTGTGTTAACTTGGGAACTGAGTTCATCTCCTCAAACACACAAGAAGGCTGGGTGTGGCCCCGTGCGTGCATGCCTGTAACTCCAACACGGAGGAGAGATAATGAAGAGGGGGGCGGGGATAGCTGATGTTTGCTGGCTGCAATTCTAGTCAAACAGTGGGACCACGGAGTTCCTCAGGAGACCTTGCCTCAAAGGATCAACGTGGAGAGAACGCTAGGACATCCGGTGCCCTTCTCTGGCTTCTGTGTGAGCACAGACCTACTCATTCACACACACATGTGCAGACACTATCACACATGGACCAGAGGTACACACAAACGTATTTTTAACTTGAAAACAATCCCTATTTAGGAGGACATACCAAATGGTATTGGCCTGGGGATATGAAGATGACTTGCTGAGGTGTGTTCAGAGGGCCATCCGTATTTACTGTCTTCCCTGATGCAGGGTCATTATCTGTGCTTTGGGAGGAAGTGGACAGAAGCAGAAGCCCAGGGAGCCAGGTCCTCAGGGTGTGTTTGCCACGTGCAGCCAGCTCTGTGCCTTTGTGTCTTCCTTGAGTGGTGTGCTTGCTCATTCCGAGTGTAAGGAAAGCAGATGGGGCATGAGCAGCAGAGCGACTTAGGGCTCCAGACTACTTAGGTAAAGTGGATTTCCTAGAGATAAAGATAGCTAATATTCATGTGCCTTCCTCTATAAAGTAGGGGCCATTTTTTTTTTAAAACAGAAGGAGACATTTGCCTGTGGTCAAAAACTTACATGTGGCAGAAACATGAGTTTAATCTGAATTGCTTGGCTCAGGTGATACTCTTCCTGACCATACACAACTGCTTCTTGAAATAGCTACACGGGGGGTGGGGGGAGGTCTTCAGGAGAGACGGAGGACTTGGACTGACAGCATCAGTCTCCTTAGAGATGTGCACAGATGATGGGAATGGGGGAGGGGGATTCGGAAGTATGACTGCTCATCTGAACAGATTTGAGTTGGATAGGGGATATGATATCCTTGCCTTGATCCAGAGGGAGAGCGCATGCTCTCTGAGCTCTACTGAATGTAGGATGTATTTCAGAAACTCAAAACCAGAAGCAGAAAAGGGACTTGGTAGGTCGCTCTCCCAGTGAGCTGGACCAGTCCCAATGGGGAAGAGCAAGGAGGAAAGTCTGAGCCCCTGTAGGAGAAGTGCGGAAGTGGGCCCACACTGGAGGCTTCACTGCTGGCTGTGAGGCGCATGGACATCTCCCTGTCTGGTTTCATGGATGAAACTCGATGGCCTGTGACGGTGATAAGCACGTATGGATACGGTTCCATACCGTTGTTCTATGTATTACAAAGGCAGAGGGTCCCTGGCCAAGTTCACTGTTGGCTGAACTGTGCCACGCATGCTCCTGTTTGAAAAGCTGGAACTACAGCGCCCTCTGCTGGAGTTTACAGGCGGGCATCTCTTGGTTCCCAGCAAGTGGGTCACTGGCCAGGTGGCTCAGAGGACCAAGAAGCCAAAGATTGAGCAGAAGACATTGCAGATAGAATTGACTCTCTGTCTCTCTGTCTCTGTCTCTGTCTCTGTCTCTGTCTCTGTCTCTGTCTCTCTCTCTCTCTCTCTCTCTCTCTCTCTCTCTCTCTCTCTGTCTCTCTCTCTGTCTCCCCCTCCCTCTCCCTGTCTCTCTTTTTCCCTCTCCCTCCTCCCCCCTCTCTTTCCCTCTCCCTCTCCCTCTCCCCTCCCCCCATGTATCAAAAGACAACAAGACAACCTTGGGTGTCAGCTCTTGCCTTACACCTTGTTACAGACGGTCTCTCTGGTTGCTCACCCCTGCATATGCCCTGCTGACCTGTTCTTCCAGACTCTCCCATCTCTTCCACAGGATGTGACAGGAGTGTGGACCCCTGTACTAGACTTTTA